GGTCAATATTGCCATATATAGCCAGTTGTATTTTAATTGGTCAGAAAAGTTTCCCATAGCAAAAATAAAGGTGGATACCCGATATTATGTAGGAGATCTTGAGGCTATGTGTATCAAGGAACCAATATACAACTTGGTGATAGGAAATATACCAGGTAGTAAACATTTGAAGGAAGAGCAGAAGAAAGACCCTTCACCACAGAAATGTAGGGACAGTGCTCGAGAGGAAGTCAAGCACAAGACAAGTAGGAAAGAGACTTAAAAAACAGAGGACTGGAAAGGAGAATTGAACCGGACCTATCAAAACAGTTTTGCTTGGGAAGCCAAACTCAAAGACAGTTAGAAACACTTATAACAAGAAGGCCAAGGGTCGACAAACTCACCATATATTTGCATTACTATACATACTACTAAAAGGTAGTTTCCGACAATAATCAAGCAGCTATCATCCAATATTCTATTGATGTCTCACAGTGAAGCTATGCTTAATAGCTTAGAAAGTAATAGCTGCAATTCTCTTTTGTCCAGTCAAACCTGCACCAAACAAATCGTTTTAAGTATGTGATAACGAAGTGGAAAGCACACAATTTAATGCATCAATTGTATATGGTGAACATTATCTAATAGCTCTGAAAGCATGGAATGTCACCGCCTTTCAGTAATTAATATTTATTATTGGTGACTATCCTAACTCCTGATAATAAAGTAGTATTCACATAATATAGTGCAGTCTCTAAGCTGGAACTTTTAGTTATTGGTGACTTTCCCTAGTTGGAACACAAACTTATGCACATTGGCCAATGCAGACCTCAGCCACTCCATATATTATTGTGGACACTGTGGTACATCTGCCCTTGTAAAGGTCTAAAATCAACATACCACTACAATCAAGGTTCAACAATAGAAACACAATTTATTCACAGAGTAGGTCACGAGAGTACAACCTCATTTGATTATAAATCTACCTACTCTTCTGCTATGTTAATAGTATCTGTACACAACCGCTAGGGAAGTTAATGTCAGTTTTATCATACATATATACATATATATATTTACTCAAAATACAAATGATTATGTTTAAGGTGTGTTAGCATTTTAATGCAACTAAAAATTCATAGATGAACTAAATGGTAGTAGGAAATAATAAATGAACGATAAACACAACCATAATCATAGAAAATAGAATTTGCTATCTTACACATTAAAAGGAATGTTAATACATCACATCCGTATGAACATCTTCTGTGAACACCTAGTAGACCTGGATTCTGTTATGCAGTATATGTTAATGATGTACAGGATACTTTTGTCCCAGTGAATTCAGAAGGGATAAAAAACTTTTGTATTCTAAGATTTACTGGTTTTGCGTAGAGTAATTGGATAGGAACCACAGGATAGCTACAGGTTCGCTAGAAAATTTATTGTACAGCATAAATCTGACTCTGGCTTCAACTAATTCTGACACAAAGAAAGAGACTGGACACAAGTTTGACACAGTAAAATCATTTTTATTCAAATCACACTATAATCAAAGTAAAAGACAGTTACATATATACGACTGTTACCATTTAAATTTAATGTGAATGTTATGATTTATATAGCGCGAGTTTGAAATTTAGTTACTTTTAAAAGTGATAATTTATCGCAGGTTTGTTTGCATAACTGTTTACAGATCATACGTTGTGCAGTTCAATAATTATGAATTCGTGATTGTTATGTTATTGCGTCATGTTAGTAGAACCTTCAAATGTTTTCTCGTTGTTTTAATTGAATATTATTGCATCATAATACCTCGTAGTGTATAAAACATTCTTAGCCTCTTTGGGGATATAAATACGCGTCGAAAATTTAGTTGGAAATATAGACAGAGCTAAACTGAATGATTGTGAGTTTAGTCATAAAGAATGAATAGTGGCGAATTTTAAAGTGAAATTATCAAAGACTGTATTGTAATAACAACAGGAAGAATAATTTGTCTTGTCAAATTGTGTTCTAAAGTAATTGAACTAGCCTGTGTGGACTTTAACGAAAAATAAATGTATTTAAACTCTGGATACGATTGTGATAACCAACAATGTAACGAACATTTGTATATACGCTAGACTTGTTTTAATATGAAATTTTAAAACAAGTGGATTATGAGCTATTTGTTTATTGTTGAAATTTATCGCCAACAAGTTACAGACAACTACTGTAAAGAATCTAGCCTTTATATAAAACCTGAAAAAGACAAATGTAAGTGTGGCGCCTTTATTGGAATGAGATATGATGTTGAGTAAAAGCTCTCAACAGTAAAGTTTAAAATAAAATAGAAAAGTTGAAGTTAAAGCTCAAATTATCTACATAGATGTTTAGCTGTCAGAGATTGTTAAGTTAAGTCAAGTTGTTCCAGACTCAGAAAACATAGCAATGTATACTATAAAAAAAAAATGTCATTCTTCTCAAGATGCAGGTGCTACACACGTGACTGGTGGTCACTATCACTTTAAAGGAAGAGATGTTATATCCCTGGGCCCATCACCTGATTTTCCAGTAGAAAATATCACTATCTCCTTCTATACAAGGTGTGCTATGCTACATCGAACTTTACTACCAAAAAGTACATTTGAGGCCCTTGTTAACTGACCTAGTTCTGTGAGCAACAGGGAAAAGAGCTTAAAGGCTCCCTTGATTGACTTTCTATGTTAAGATTAAAATGTTCAATAAGCACAAAAAAAATAAAACATACGTATATCAATTAATGGTGCAACCGCTTTTATTATCAACAATATTAGGTTCAAATACCTACCTGTTCAGAGCTTACGTACAGCTTCTACTGAAACATAAAATTAGCTTCAATCTGCCGTATGGAGTAACCTCCACAAGCCAAAACTAAGAGCATATGACTGTCCACTTCATTGTCATATAGCAGAGGGGAACAATTCCATAATGTTTCATTTTATACTCATTTGATTAACTGTCATTTGGCTTACAATCGAAAATATCGTTAACAGCAAGAATATCCAACTGATGAGACAATTCATTCTAACATTCATACTTACAAACTGTCTTTATTTTTTTTTACTTTGATCTAAGTAGGTAGCTTTATTTGAAAGGAAGTTAATAATTGTTTTAAATACTGTATGTTAAGTACACTATTCTACCAGAAGTTATGGAACACATCTCTGATTTGAGGGAAATGGATGTGATGACGAAATATGCAAATAGTTTAGCCTATAAAGGTAATCAGCGGTTCGCTCGGAAGTCATTTCAAACTTTTACACCGAACGATGAGTACACGGAAAGAGTTAACAGAGTTTCAGAGGGGAAAGACAGTTAGATGTCATTTGGAGAAAATGTCTGTATGTGCTATTGTACAACAATTAAACATTCCTAGGTTAACTATTGGAAACGTGCAGAAGAACCAAGTCCACAGGTGACAATGAGCACAAAAAACGACCAGGTAGGTGTAAAATACTGACTGACAGGAGCCGATGCGCCTTGAGAAGCCTAGTTACCTCATCTCGCTGTCAGACCGTAAAGAATCTGTGTTTGGAGATACGAGCAGCAACAGGCAATTCTGTAATTGTTTCCACGGCACGTCGAGAGGTGCATGCCATGCATTTTCATGGAAGAGGTGCAGACCACAAGCCTTTGATAAAAACATATGCACACCATTGATTGGCATGGGGAAGGCACACCAAATCTAGACCGTGGATCAATGGAAATTGGTCCTGTGGAGCGACGAGTCACACTACACGCTCTTCCATTATGATGGACGTGTTTTGGTATGGAGGATGCCTGGATAATACATATTACAGCGAAGTTTGGAGGTAGCAGTATCATATTCTTGGACTAGGTCCACTGGTCGCTGTGGATAGATCCATGAATGCTGAGTCCAACATTGATGTTCTGAACAATTCTGTGTTCTACATTGTGGCAACTTTATGGTACCGGCCCTTACACCTTCCAACTTGATAACATGTCACAAAGCAAGGATTGTGAACGCATGGTTTGAAGAGAATAACTTCGGAACATTGCAGTGGCCAGCACAGAATCCCGACCTCAACCCGATAGAACATCTTTGGGCAAGGCCCAGATGGCCTTCTTCAGTAATGGAGCTTACTAATGCTTTAAAGGAAGAGTGGAGCACAATACCACCAGCTTTCTACCAGAAATTCGTAGACAGTCTTCTACGACGCATTGATGCAGTCATTAAGGCCAAAGGCGGGCCAACACGCTATTAATTTCTTGGACAAAGACATGTTTTATTCATAACTACCCGTGCCTCATGATTTTTGGGAGGGTAGTGTATATTTGTCATGATATGCTATATTTGAGAATTTAGTTCGAATGTGGATATCATTTATGATAATTCATATTTATGAAATATTTATTTATATTTTATTACAAAGTAATATTCCAACTGTGTAGACTCTTACATTTCACTTCATTTCAGTTGGTTATAATTTGATTTTGAATTTTGATTTATAGGTTCTTATTGCCCCTGATTCATGCAGTGTTTTGCAATATGTTACCTTACAACATAAAGATAATATGGTTGTATTCATCGGTTGTTGTAGATATGTGAGAATTAAAAATAAATACAACTAAAACGTACTAGCAATGGTTGTTGATTGGTTTATTTTGAGACAATGAATTTAAATAGGAATGATACAATTACACTTGATATAATACATAATTATGAAACAGTTTTTTACATTATAACATTCGATTTACACCGTGAACGAATACCTGGAAGCTAAGGAACAGTGCGCTTGATCAAATCGCAGGTTATTTCTGTGATTTTTATGTTTACCGTTTTTATTTTCTTTCTGTGTTCCACCTTCGTTGCGTTTTACTTTTTAATAAATTACTTAAATTGAAAAAAATTATAATAATTAACCAACTCTTAATCTGATTGATCTATCTATACCCGTTTATTATATCATCCAAAACTTTGTAAAATCGTATGAATGAATTGATATTATTGTTTATTAATTAAATGTACGTTTTCACAGTGTTGGAGTATGTTGGTACAAAGCAGCGCCTGACAGTTTCAACGGGTTATTTGTACGCCTATCCTCTTGTTGGTTGTATATTACCATGGGTGGCTTATGGACTTCGCAGTTGGGAAGCCTTCAATGTAGCTACTTGCGCTCCTTTAATCGTTATTCCCCTTATAGTAAAGTAAGTTTTTCATTCTTTAAACATTAGAATTCTTTACTTGCATGTTATTTCCAAAATTTTCCTCTCGTAGAAATGTTTGTATTTGTTCTTTGTAAAGGCCATAAATAATTGATTTTGAGAGAATTTGTATTTTTTCTTAACCTAGATTTATTCCCGAATCTTTGAGGTGGATGGTTACCCACGGCAAGACTGTAAAAGCAAAAAAAAACTCTGCAGAAAATTGCTCATGTTAACGGGAAAAATATTGAGGATGAATTTTTTGACACATTAAAGGTTGGTATCATATCCTATGTTATGGCAGTGTTTTAATTTCTTGACTAAGATACTTTTATTGTAAATGTTTACTCGATAGTTTTATCACAAAAAATAACATTTATAAATACGCAAGTAAAGTAAAAATAAAAATAAATATTTGACAATTCAATAAATCATGGAATTGTCAGAGTTTACTTCGGTGGCATATTACACAAATTGTATATCTCAGTTACTGCACTGTAAGTAACACGAACGAGAAAAAGTAAACAAGACCACCTGTGTTCAGTAAAATATTTATAAAACTGTTTTAATCGATTTTGAACTTTATGTAGAATATTCTATATCTAATAAAGTGTTTTCAGTCATGAGTAACTCCGCAGTATAATTAAAACAGATCGGCAGTTATAAATAAATAAGCGAAATTATATTTCACTTCATGCTTCATAACTTACTGTTATTAAACATAATTGTCACCTGTTAGTCCTAACATATATTTTAACTAGCAAAGCCAAACTTAAATATTACTAACATAAACTGGGGCAGTGTGCCGCCCCTTTTACTATTTATGAATTGTGGTACCGACCCGTCTGTTCGATCCAAAGGCACCAGTCCTTCACGATGTACAGCTTTACAAGTAAAACATTAATACCGATTTTTGGGGATCGGCCTTCGTTCCACTAATAAATTTCATCTAAATTAGTTGAGCCAGTTCCTCAAAACAGCTTGTGACACCAGACGGATAATTCTCCTTTATAAATATATAGACAGACAATACAATAAGTTTTGCTGGTTATTTGTGCGTTGTATAATTCTTCAATTCTGTTAGAATAACTGCATACATCGGAGCGCAGCAATTTATTCATGGAGGTCTAGACATGGAAGTATGTCCTTGGAAAGAAATCGTGTATCTTGCTACGTGAACTCTGCTTTTTATTTATGGCGCACTTTTCATGAAAAAGATTTCATTTGAGTTTAAAGATCTATATTGCTCAAAAGCTTAGGTATTAGTTCCAATTTAGTTGTTGGTATAACTTTTGACATGTAGATATGTTTCAATGATAACGACACAAAACAAATCCTAATACAATAAAACAACAAATAAACTTAATAATTTTACAGAAATAATATTATAAATTGTATAAAGTACATTTAGTGACTACAACAACAAGAATGGAAATATTTACAATCGTTCTGTAATTACGTTTTTAATTCTTTGAGAATATTAGAAACACAAGTTTAACCCCACAAAATCTTTTATTGTGATTTAGAATTGATATATTTTTATTATTAACTTTTATTGTTATGAACCCTCATGTTTACGCTGACCTTCCGGAATAATGGAATGAATATCTTTCATCGAAAACCTTCTTGAAGGATGTTTGTTTCTATTATTCAAATTCGGCATGGCCAGGTGGTTAGGGTACTCGACTCGCAATCTGATGGTCGCGGGTTCGAATCCCCGTCCCACCAAACATGCTCGCCCTTTCAGCCGTGGGGGCGTTATAATGTGACGGTCAATCCCACTATTCGTTGGTAAAAGAGTAGCCCAAGAGTTGGCGGTGGGTGGTGATGACTAGCTGCCTTCCCTCTAGTCTTACACTGCTAAATTAGGGACGGCTAGCGCAGATAGCCCTCGTGTAGCTTTGCGCGAAATTCAAAACAAATTATTTATATTTTTTCTATATTCAAATAATATTTAATTACCTCTTGATAACCTTAATACCTTCCCCTCCCTAATACCTCTCTATGCGGATCAAGCTCTGATAATGCTCCACATTGGTCACTACTTGACGAGGGTAGATAGACTGCTGTTGGTTCAAGGTCAGCTACAAACTTAAAATATATAAACTCTCACCATCAAAGTACGCAAACGTATACGTCACAAAAACATTTAATTTGGAAATCACGCCTTTAGATTTAAATAAATCATTTACTCTATAAACAGCTCACAGTATCATATTTTTTATCACTGGTTTCAACAGTTGTCTGTTCATTTCTCACAGTTCTTGCACAAGTTATTGTGGGTGTAATAAGATATTAAAAGTAAAATCTAAGATGAAACACACCATCATCATCACGTTTTATGTCATCATTAACCTAATTTTATTTTGTCTCGTTGCTTATTGGATAGGGTGTAGAATAAACGAGGAAACAATTTCGAGGTTTAAGGTGCTGAACGTCACAAAACTTCAAAAGTCTCGTATAATGCCCTCAAGCTTGAGATTCGACCCACACACTACCTTATATGTCTGTAGGTGGTTGTATCAAAAAATATATTCCAAATTTTAATTTTCTTTTGTTTAGTTTCTATATACTTTTGACACAACCACGCGGCCCAGAAAATCGTTGAGATTTCCTTGTAGTTACTTTGTTTTCTATAGTATATCATGTCTACTCTGCTGAAAGGTATGCTGTAATAACATTTAGCATCTGTGTTAAAAGGATTATCGACTGTGATATACTTTGCTGGTCAACTCGACACTGTCTTTATGTTACAGCCTATCGGTTGTGTGAGAACAAAAATCACGAATGGACAAAGAAACTGAGTTTATCTGTTGAATGAGGCGTACTTTCTTAGTTCAGATTCTAGATGTAGATCGACAAGTGTGTTTAGTTCAACAGAATCTATCATTAGGGAAAGGAAGCTGTGAAGCTAATCACAATCTAGTAGAAACAACTGTCTTTGTGGGTGCACAAGTATATATTTTGCAGTTTCTTTTTGTTTCTTCTATAATAAGAATTGGATTCGTTTTTGTTTTTTTTTAAACTTGTCCAGTCTCATTATTTTACACACACAAGGAAAACTATCAAACACATATTATTCTATTTATTTGCTGAATGAATCTGCTGTTATTAGTAGATAGGAAGAAAAAATTTTGGCACCTTGATATCAGAATGTATTGTGGTTTTCTGAACTGATAAAGTGTGTACTTGTCATTGTTTAATATCTTGAGTTTATGGAGCTCGAAGTAACGCTTCTTATGATTGGACTGGCATTTTCTCGACTGAAAAGTATTCAGGACTAAGAGAGAAAGTTTAGTGGGGAGAGATTTCGAATCTAGGAGAAGTCCTCTCCCGGATATATGATGGTCACCCACGTTGTAAATGTCTAGGAGATCGGTCAGCTTGCAACTACTGATACAGAGAGATTTTGGAGCACCCAGACTACTCAAGTAGACAGTGCCTCAGATGATCAATCTTTTCCGAAGGAAAGTACAGATAATGTAAAGTCATCGAAGTGAAACGACACCAGGCAAGTTCAAGACTGCATGGAGAGGTCTCTATTGGACTCTTATGCTATCATTAGTCAGAACACCAAGGCATCAGCTCTGGTCCAGACCACTGTTGACCAATGGAAGAAGGCTGTACAATGGGGCTGGGGAATGGTCTGCACCAGTCACAGTAATGTTTCTGGCAGGTAAGATAACATACCTCCAGGGGTGAAAATTGTGAATCGTGGAGTGAGGAACCTGTCACTCTTGAAAGGTTCCTCATGACCTCAATGGCAGCTCGTGATATGTGGAGTCATGTAGGGCTGTAAGTAGCTTGTTGCCCTTTAGCCCTGGACCAGGGACCAACTGCTCATCTGGTCTGTCAGCTGTCAGCAGCTTTCATCCAGGGTTTATGGCATTGATAGCATCTTTAAATTGCATGGTTAAGGATCCTGTGAGAGAGTGCATTTGGACAGCTGCACAGGTCCCTGTCAGCGAGGCCAAACAGATAATGCCCCAACGTAACAGAGCTGATGAAATAAGACCTAGATCTTTTCATAAAGCACTTCAGGCAGGTAAGTGCTTGGAGTGGATGTACAAGGAGCAGGCTGTTCAGTGTATGGTCCTGAGCTAAGATATGTGGCTTCCAATGCTGTTGAACACTTAGATGAAAAGCACCAAGGCGACTTGGAAATGATTATATGTAAGGTGCATTGACAATTTGTCTAGTCGAAAACTGAGAAATGTATCGAGCTGAATTCAAGGCTTAGAAAAGAATTGGCACCAAACGACTGGCTGTCTATGTAGATTATCTGTGTTAATTTTATTGGAAGGCATAACCAACAATGTCTTCTGCAAATCAAATAGATATCCTGGTCAATAAGTTCATTGAAGAACTTCCCAATGATCTAATACATCTGGGAGTGAGGGACATCATCACTCTCATAGAAGTTGTTTGTCATGACAAGATTTGAAGTACACTTCAATGTGGCCATTGAAGAGAAAGAAACCTGCAGCAGCAACTGTAATGGTAATTACATCACCTACACCCAACCAAAGGATTAATAACCAACTGCCTTCAAAGGTTGGTAAAGCAATACAACCACATGAGTCTCCAATGATTGGGCATGGCTGTACAAGTCCACCCATAGGGTACATATCATGGAACATAAGCCACTACAAGATCTGCCTATTGGATACACACTGTAGCCAAAACGAATGCTTCTGCCTGGACATCATCCAGAACAGGAAGAGTAAAGCATCTGCATTTGCTTGTAAACTAGTAAAACATTAGCAGAAGAACTGTCTGTACTTTGCCATACAGCAAAGATGACAGAGCTATGGTTCTAGCCAATCTACAATGTCAGCACCTTCCTGAGTCACAAAGTAGACAGGGTTATCAGTACAATCCATTGGATCAGTGGATCCAGGATGACAAGCAGTAAGCAGTGGATGCTGTGACAAATGCTCTAGGAAACTGATGAATCACAAGACTGGTTTGGGACAACACAGCAGATAACTTGCACAAAAGAGGTAAGTGATCAGCTCAGCTCTACCATGGGTGTGTGAAATTTGATGTGTACTTTTAAGAGGTAAAAGGGAGAGCAATTGAGTTCTTGGTACACAAAGAAGTTGTAAGGATGCTGGTGGACCTTGTAATCTTTCAAGCCCTTTGAGTGAGACCATCATTATGACTAGTGAATACAAGGTGTGTTTTGTGGTTTAATCCAGATGAAGTCTAATGTGTCAGTACCATGTAAGGCAGTTTAGAAGTCATTCATTATATGAAGAGATCCTGTCCAGAAAGCAGACAACATTATAGCTTTGGCAGTAATCCATCTAACAAGGAATAACATTTCATTGTTGCTTTATAACTAAGGATGAATAGCTATCCAGATAAATGCTGTAATGGTTGTAGGCGCAGTAAACGAAGACGTTAGTGAAACGAAAACGAAGATGCTAGTGTTAACACTATAGTTGTGTCTATCATACCATGGCCAAAATGGCAAATGAAAGGTTACTGATACATCTGGGGTTGTTGTTTGACAATTAT